TACTGACCCCTCCGGGGGCCCTCACATTTTTCAGGTTGAGGCTAGAGTCCTACTACCTGCACCTTTGCCTAGGGTGACTGATCGAGAAGGAAGACGTGGTTCGTGCTTCCATTCTTATTTCAAATGTATAAACCGCTCATGGATTTTTGAACAATATTTTCATTAAAACAGTTGGGGGCCTGCGTGCCCGTGTTTGCCACGTGTGGCTAAGTATCAAACATTTTATTATTTTCCGCATTTGATTGATTATGATATTGATGTTGATTGTATGTGTTTACTAATCGGTTTGGCAATAGAATAAATCGGACGCCTTGTACAACTCAATAGGGATGAACTGTTGTTGTTCTTATCGGGTTGTACGGCGGTTGTCTACGTGGCTCGGATGCGGTCCGGGGCGTGACATATTGAACCTCTTAAATTAAAAACTCTCGTAGGTGGGATTACTTTATTACCTGAAACAGAAAGAGTTAAAAATAGGCTATCCTCAGAAATGATTTCATCACAGCACAGTTTTGGGTATCATTCGTTTCCTTCTCAAGAATAGTTGCACAATTCATGTCACAATTTGTTGGGGCTATTGTGGCTATAGGATTGGCAGATTGAACATTTACAACTTGGGTATCATTTGAACTATCATAAGGGCCTTCATTGTTTACAGACCTGAAAGTAACTACTTAAAGGCTTTGAAATTAGTGTGAACACAATCTTGAGAATACCTGGAAAGCAATGGAAAGAAATGTTTGAAAACCAATAATGTTTCTTTCACTATTTCACTAATTCGCTAACTTACAATGGAAAGAAACTCCTAATGTTTCTGTTTGAAAAAGTTTATACACACATATTTAAGATTTTAGAATCTGCTTTGCACATACATGTATGTAGTCATGTAGATATAGAATGCCCAACTCTAGAACTAACTATATTCAAAAGATTTAATGAAAATAAAAACATGTAAAATACATGAAAGAGTGAAAGAATAGATAGAACTACAATTTAATGAAAGGCTACGGGTAAATGGTCTGCTAAGTATAAAACAATGAATTGTGCAAGAGGTTAAGTTAGGTCTAAAATCTTAAATGAGAAACTCAACCTAAAATGAGTACATTGATTGCCTGCCACATGTGTGTTCCTTTTCTGCATTCATAATGTCATTCCACGAAAGCACTTCTACAGAGCATGTATTCCAATTACGGACAATTTGCCTCAAGTGTTGCAACTAATACTTGTGATGTTACCTATTGGACGATTGTTATAGAATATAACTTCAAAGTTTTCTCATTGTTAAAGAACAACAACCTTCTGGTTCTAATTTTTTCCCTATACATCTCTTTGTTTTTGTACACCTGAAATTATTTTAGAGAAGAACTTATAATCTTTACTGTCTACCTGTATTATTTCATACACTTAAAATGCAAATTAGTAGTAAAAAATTAGTCTCATTTTGTGCCCTTATACCAACACTTAATCTGAAAAGCATATATACATCATACATTGTGTAACAAACATTTTGATATAACACTGGAAAAGGCCAATAAATCTTTATCTACAAAATAAAGAACAAAATACAAAAGCCTGTAGACAAAATGTTAGGATTTATGAATATGCACATCTCTAAGAAATATACCTTCAAATAAACTAAAGAACATATCTGCCATCTTTTTTTAAAGAAGAGAATTTTCAATAAATAATATGTAGTATGGCAGTATACACTTACACATGGGATTCTTTTAAAGCACTAATAAGGTTATTCTAGTCAACTTCACTTCGAGTCATGCCAAACTCAGAACCTTCAAAGCTAAAACGTCCAAACATGTACATACACATATCCGGGTTAAGATACTCTTCACTTTCATCATTTCTATCAATCATCGTTTACAGGAATCTCCAAAATATCAGAAGAGGATTGTAGAGGTGCCACAAGCATATTTAAAAAATAATAGCTTGAAAATGTGAAAACTTAATAAGACAGTTGGTTTATCTAGTGAAGTTGGCCCAAAAAGGATGCCAGAACTAAATATTGGGTGGTAAATATCAAAGACCTCCCTTAAGTAAAAATAGAATATCACAGATTAATATTTCCAACAAAAAGAATGCTCCTCCACCAACATACCTTCCATTTGAACTGTTCTATTGGTACCTTTCTCAAACAAATAAACTGCAACTTCAAATGGCTGCAAATTTGATTCTTGGCAGTGGACCTTGATATTACATCCTATTTAATAAAACAACATTGCAGTACTAATCTTTTGCTAAGGGACCTGGTTGTATATTGTCTATTTAGAAATACTGATGGATTTTAACAACCTTATCACAAAAGATTACATTTGCATTGTTATTATTGTTTTTGTTGTTATCAAACTTATTATTAAATTAAATAAGCTTAAAATCCCTTCTTTTCATAGACAGTAAACTTATTGTTGTTGTTCTATTATAGTTATTTTTCAAATAAATGATAAAAGAATGCTGCTGAAACTGAAAGAACATTAAACCCCTAACCCCTTAATCATCCATCATGTAACCAAATCAAATCATGGATTTTTTTAAAATACAAACCAGGTAAAACTAACAGAACCAAATTAACAAACACCTTGTGGTTAAAAAGTGAATTACAATAGATGGAGAATATCTACAATCATGAATGTCACAGATTCACAATAATGAAGCATATCACTCACAACTGTGTAGCATAAATTATACTATGTCATCCGTACATAATATCAGGATAAAAAAACTAAAAATTAACACAAATCAAGAAGATTTATTACCTAGCTATGTGATGGTGGTTGACCGAAATTGTGGGCGAACGGTGGTGGCGGCTTTGCCGGCGCCTATTATCACCGGTGGTGGCGCTCACTAGCGAATTGAAGGTTGTGACTTTGTCGCCGCTTCACTCGCGCTCTTGTAGCATAGCTGATTTCTCGTTGTCTTTCTCTTCCCTGGATGGTCAATTGATTTACAGAAAAAGAAAATTGAGAAAAGGGAAAGAGACGTAAAGCGGTAGAGGAGGAGAGCGGGTAGATGTCGCGGCTTCACTACCTCGGCTTTTCCTTCCCCAGGTCGTCAGCAGCGGTAAGGGCAATAAGAAGTCATCGTCGTCGGTGCGGAGGAAGGGGCTATCCTAGCGACTAGACGAGCTGCTGAGAGGAAGAGTTGACGGTAATGAAGTCGTTGAAAGAAGAGACTGTGAAGGATGAAGCGCAGCAGGGGAAGATGAAGCGCAGAAGGAGAAGCTGAAGCGCTCCGGCGAAGAGTATGGGAAGGATTAGGTTAAAAATTTATAAAATAAACCTCATTTCAAAAAAATATTTTTATAAATTATGAAAATGACCCCGTTTTTTCACTTTGAGTGTCATTATTAAACGGTGATGTTATTGTGTCAGAAATTAGTGATATTTATGTGTAAACTTTCAATTATGTCGTCAGTTTCTGACACTAAATCGAATAGTGTCACTAACAAAGTGTCACTGTAAGACAGTTTTCTAGTAGTGATATGTATACAAATACTTTTTTCAATGGTCTCTGTACACAGAAAAAATTGTTAAGCACGGACAATAATATACAAATTGGCTATGTACAAACAAATAGATGTCTATGCACATACACTGGTTTGCGTGTTGTGTTGCAGAAATGCCATAGTTTGGTTGCATGGAAACCGATGTCAGTGCACAAACATTTAGTTGTATGTGTGGTGGATAGGATACCCGGGGGGTAGCTTATCCGAGGGGTTATTGCGGAGAATAACTAGAGAGAAGTCAGAGCAAGTAAGTAAGAGAGAGAGTGTAAATTAGATACGTGTTCAGCGTATTTCGCTTCCGGTTACAAATGGGGAAATGGGGTGCTATTTATAGTAGTAATAAATGCCAGATAGGGACACGTGTCAAGCATCCATTGGCCGAGGGGTCACCTCAACTGGTTGGCGCTGGCAATCGCATGTGGCCGCATTTAACGCGGCTGTTGGATGTGATGTCGTACTTGGTACGGTGATTTCGACGCATGTGGAGTGGATATTATGTCGAGAAAGGTGCCCTCGGCTGCAGGTGATTAGCCGAGGGCTCTGAGTACCGGGGACCCCCTTAGTGCCGAGGGCTCTAGGTGCCGAAGGCTATTGATTTCCGCCGTTTTCTCCCAGTAACTTTGTGTGCTTGAGCTGGCCGTCCTGTGAGAATTTGGAGCCTTCGGCCAGGGGGTCGAAGGCACTCCTAGTGTGCTGCGTGGGTTGCTCAGTACTTGGGGCGTTGTATTTTGGGCCTGTTGTGCCCCCTGGGCCTATTGGACCTTTATCAGAATAGTAGGAGTCTACGGGCCTGGGGTTCCTGGACCATATACTCCATCAATGTGTATACATAATTTTTTCATTTTTTGTCTGTAATCAACAATTTCTCTGGGTACACAAGATAAAATAGATTAGTACATGGAAAAAATATATTTTTTTTTGGGTAAGTACATGGACAAAATATAAAAATTGTTTGTGTACAAACAACTAAATATCCGTATACAAAATGATCTAGATCACATAAACTTTACAAAACTTTTTATGAAACAATCTTAGTAAAGTTTACTGAAAAGGTAAAATAAGACAATTTTAACAGAAAAGCGTGTGAACACTTAGTCGTCGGAAAACAATATACACTAATGATTTTTTCTACTTAATAGTGTGTATACTTACCTTCAAAGTTCAAATAGTTTTTTTTTGAAATCAGATAGAAGCGTGTGAACGCTGCTTAGTGGATATTGGCGTCACGCCCCATGTGATTAAATTGGCTCCTCAATACCTCAAAAGGGAGTAAAATGTTGGGCCCCGCGTGCATTTGGACCTGCGTGATATCCGAAACTCAGACAATAACCTTAAAATAACTGAAATTCAAATAATAACTGCACGTTTTAAGGGATGCCAGATCACCCCGTGTGTGTGAAGTGTTGACCTGATGAGCTGGACATTCCAGGCTGGCGTTTCTTCTCTATTTATATCCCAACTCCCTTTGACTCCTTTTCAGTCCACCAAATTGCGGAGTGCCAACAGAACATAACCGAAAACAGGATTTGAAACAAAAACATATGCCGAAGCTAATAATCAAGCAACATAAGATGGAAGAATTCTCCGGCGACAAAAATCACCGCTCACCGCCGCCGCTCACTGGTGAGCAGGAATCCGCCGTCTTGGTCTCAGCCTTGAGGAATGTCATAAGCGGAACATCAGCGGATTCCACGGCAGAGCTCCCGCCGCCTCTACTGAGGTTACCCGAAGGCCCGACGTGTCAATTTTGCGGAATATCGGGGTGTTTGGGCTGCAATTTCTTTGGGACGGCGGAAGTTGAAGAGAAGAAGAAGAATGTGATAGGTACGAAGAGGAAGAAAAAGAATTACAGGGGAGTGAGACAGAGGCCATGGGGCAAATGGGCGGCGGAGATTCGAGACCCGCGAAAAGGGGCTCGAGTGTGGCTCGGGACGTTTCAGACATCTGAAGAGGCAGCTCGGGCTTACGACCGAGCTGCCGTAGAGTTCAGAGGTCCGAGAGCGAAGCTCAACTTCCCCTACACCGACTACACAGCATCGTGGTCGCATTCTTATCAAGCACAACCTATGCAGATAGAGCACGACAACGTTAATAAAAGCGGGAGTAATTTGGCGGGGAAATTGGAGGTGGAGACGAGCGGGGAAACGGAACAGTTGGAATTTGGAGAGGAAGAGTGGGAAGAATGCTGGAGAATTATGATGATGGATTTCAATGGCGATTCTTGTGATTTCACTACTAGCTTATCAGCTTCTTCGTAATTTGGGAAGAAGCTATATTCGTTTTGTCCAGTTTCGTTTTTGTATAAATCTGGGCATGTAAAATACTAATGAAATCGATAATAAAACAAATTTGGTTTTACTCTTCACTGAAATTTTGTGAATTTCCAGCATTCTGTAGAATTTGAAGGGATTTTTTGGCTCGTCAAAGAAATTGCAAGGAAAGTAAAGGTGATCTACATCGATGTTAAAGTCTTTCGGTTTTCACTTTACTCGATAAGGACATGACTCGATATTTAATTTATGATCCATTATATCTTCACCTCCATCATTTGGAATTGAGACCTTGAAGATAGGATGGAATAAAGTAAAATGACTAAATCAATCATCCGCGTTTCTTTATTATGAAGCAGCAAGCAATCTATGCAATTTTCAACGTGATTTTCATCATGAGTCATCCAGATTAGTTTATCTTGCTTTAGTAAAGAGATAAGATTGAATAATGATGTTGACATCCATTATACTTTTGCTTTAGTATCTTCATTTTGAATATTAAACTGGATTAGAATTTAGATATTTAGATGATGACAAAGAGAGATGAGTACTCAGTAATTGAGTTCATCATGATTAATTTTGTCGTGAGTACATTTACAATTTTAGTCGAGCACATAACTTTAGTAAAGCAATTGTCATATATAGAAATGAAATATATTAACTTTGTTCCAAAAGACTAATTATGTACGTAGTATGAACTATGAAGTATTTTCTTGTGGTGTTATCAAAATAAAGGTTAAGTTTCTTTTTTTGGACAAATGATCTTACTCTATAATATGGCATTATTCATAATTTACCCTCTTTTTTATCTTACTCTACATTTCTACAACTTTGTCATATATATTTTCCTTACGTTTTTTCACTATTAATTTACGATTATTTTAGAATGGAAGGATTATCAAAAAATGGCGGTTTGACTCATTTCCTTTTAGTGTTTCAATAAGTGCAAACATTGTTTGATAAATAGTTGTTCGGTCCGATCATTTTTTGATAGAAATTGGTGAAATAGAAATGATTCAAATAAGAGAGTTTTGAGTTAGCGATTTGAAATATGCCCTCTTCTGCTAATTGTTATGGCCAAACAACGGAATTATCAAATGTCTTATGATTATCCGTCAACTTATTTCACTAGTCAAACTCGGAAAGTAAATCCGCTACTAACAATTCACAAACATAGTCCACTATTTACCAGGAGAGAAAATTTAAGAAATAATTTTAAACATATAACTAAAATGAAAATAATAGACAAAAATGTGATTCCGATAAATTTAGTGACTATAAATATATTCAAATGTTTCATTATAGTAACTATAAAACTTATACGTTGTAACTTATGTTCATATTTTTGTCCATAGTTTTTTCATTAGTAATATTTTAAGAAAAATCTCAAAATTTAAATTAATTGAATAAAACTTACTCCGTACTAGTTATCCCTTTTCCTGTTTTTAAAATTTTCTACACCAAATCTAGTCTGGCAATATAAAAACTTTAGCATGTGCAGAAAAAGTTGTGTAATTTAATTTTGTATAATTAAAATACAACCTATCTTTTAGAAAAAGCGAAAAAAAGGCGTCCATTAACCACGATTGGAGATTGGGAATCACTTTTAGGATTGATGGACTAATTATGGAGCAGCAGAAAACTTTGAAGAAAATAAAATGCGTCGTATTCCTTATTGCATAGAACGCGTTGCTGTTTGTCTAGATAAGGTGTTTACCAAAATAGAGGGTAACTAGCAATCCCACCTGATCAATATATATACTTCGTATATATGTTTGGTTCAAATAAGATCACAATCTTATGAGAGAAATAAGAATGAATTCTAGCCATTAGATTGGATCATTTTCCTTGACAATCACGTATGATCTCCTTACCCATATTGGTCATTACATATGTGCTTTAATAACCTTCAATTTATATTTGTACGTCATTCATTTTCAACATTTAAATGAATCAACGATTTGCTTTCCTTTTCAATCACATTCCAAATATAAAATGAGCTAGCATGTTTTTCATACTCCTACATACAACATGGTTTTCATATTAGTGGAGTTCGTATTTTAGTTTAAATTTGATATGTTTTATTTTATTTTATTTAATATTTCATTTATTTCTTATGAAATATTGCCTTTATTTTTTAGAGACAAGATGAAACTTTTGCTACAAAATCATGACAATTATTCGATAATGTCTTTAGATATCAATTGTATATGTAAAGTATTTAAATAAAAATAATGAAAAGTGCATGAAAAATATATGATACGTGCATCAAAGTCATATAATTATATTGTACATTTAAATATGAGTCATTTTGCACTTTTTAGTAAATATGAAATAATCTCTTACACTAAAGTGTGCACTTCTTAGGTAATTTAGATGTACTAATGAGAAAATAATCTTAAGAGAGTAGAATAAATCTGGACCGTTAGATTGTATTATATCAAATTGAATGTGTTTTAGGAGATGTTGAAATGTGCATTAAGTAGGTGAAACTTAAATGTGCAACATAAAGGGTACGCGTGACACAGTGACATTATGTGAAGCCGAATTTTGCATTAGATGAAACTCAAATGTGCATGATAGAGTATATCTAGAGAGAAGTGAGAGCTAGAGAGAGAAGTGCAATAATATGCTTCAATAGAATGGATTTGTCACCCCTATAACTACTCCCAAGGGGAGTATTTATAGAGAAAATTAGGGTTGGGCTCCCAAGCCTTGGGCTTGGGAGGCCCATTTACAACTGGACCGCTACTGGGCCGAATACAAAGCCTCTAATGGGCTGTACAAATGAGCAAGTATAGAATCCGATTCTGGGAGGTCTTCGTTGCCGACGAGGGCGCGGCCGACGAGGGCACGGCCGACGAGGGCACGGCTGACGAGGGCACCCGGGTTCCTTGGACTCGGGACCACAATCCGAGTTGGCTTCTTCTCGGCCGACGGGGGCGTCTTGGCCGACAAGGGCGCCACTCTGTTGTCTTGTGCTTTCTGTTCTTCCGAGTATGTGGGTCCTGGGGCTCAGACTCATATACTCCATCAGGAGTCCCCCACTCTCTAAGCTGAGACGTAGGCGAAGTGAAGGAGAGTAGATTTTTGTGCTTTGTGCTTTTGGCCGACGCGGGCATTTTCAGGCCGTTAGCCGTCGCGGTACTGGCGCTGTTTCCATTTTGGTGATCCTGTTATGGGCTTTGGCCGTTACCTGCTCCTCGCTGTGGGCGGGGAGGCCGTCATTTCCTTGACGTATTCGTTTGAGGACGATGAGTGTCTTGTTCCTTGCTTTGAGGACGATGGCGTCCTTTCCTTTGGGTGGCCGATGAGGGTGCTCGCGCACTCCTTTTGGCCGTTGCTGGTTGGCCTTCGTGTTCTTGGCCGAAGGGCCCGTCAAAATTAATTGTTGGCGGAGGACGATGAGTGTCCTTGCCTCTAGTGGCTTGTTGGCCGTCGCTAATGACGTTTTGGGCCTTTGGTCGATGAGGTTCCGTTGTGCTGTGTGGATGATGTGGTCATGTTTTGTGGTTACCTTGTTTATACTCTTTGTTTCGTTGAGGCCGGTGTAGTCCCCCAGTCCCCCACTGCTTCAGGCCGAGGAGTGCGAGGGGTGAAGGAGTTGCTTGAGTCCCTGGCCGAAGCGGCATCTCCGTAGTCCCCCTGAATCCAACTCTCATGGCGATTTTCTGGCCAAGGTAACCCTATGGGAGAACCCTTGTGCGCAGATCACTTGTAGAGAGTTATCATCAAGGATTGTTACGAGGAGCCGAAGGCTGTGGGCTATTTGTCCCCTTTGTTCTGTGGCCGTTACGTACCTGGCCGTTGCCATCTTCTTATTGTGTGGCATTTGTGATCTTGGCGAGTAAGTGGGACGTTGTGGGCGCTTGCTGGCAGTTGTAAAGCCGCTGAGCGTGTGTAGGCCGTAGGGTCTGATTTTCCGGTGGGCCGTTGATATGGGTTGGTCCTGGCCCGTTGGTGACGTGGTGGCCTCCCAGTGGTGGCCGTTGATGTGGCCATTGGGAGAGTGCCACATGTAGTGACCGTTGGTGGGGGGGTCTATAAATACCCCTTCCCCTCCGACGAGGAATCACATTTGCATTCTGAATTTGTCGAAGTGCTGGCCGATTTTCTAGAGAGATAAACTCCCAAGCCTGTTCTTCGTGTTCTTCGTTTGTTCGAGGTTATTGTTCATCACGATCTTCCTCGCCTTTCATATTTTGCTTCCTAGGTAGTTGATCTAGTGTTAGGCGTTTAAACACCTTTAGATCTTAAGTTGTTCTCCTTAAGCCTGTAGTAGTAGTAATGAAGAGCTTGAACGAGGACTACTACCCCTACGACGACCAGCCCTCCACGAGGTCGCTTGACTACGAGGTGCTCGAGGAGTTTGAAGAGGAGATAGAGCGCTTGAGCCCCTACAAATCCGGAGAGATGATGGACAAGGAGGGCGAGGACGAGGAGGGCGAGGACGAGGAGTCCGCCTCCTCTTCAGAGGGTGAGGACGTAGGCGCGTCCCGAGCGGTGGACGGGGCGTCCACTTCTGCTGCCGTTCCGTGCCCGAGGCCGGTGTCTGCCGTGAAGGGAGCAGCTAAGCCGAAGAGGGTGAGGAGGCCGAAGAATGGGCCGGGCCTCTCCTACTTGGACCTCACCAACATATTCCTGATCAAGCCGGAGAGCAGTGCGGCCGACTATCTTGTCGCCCAAATGTACGTGGGGCCGTTCGGGCGGGTTAGGGCACCCAGGCCGACGAACCATGTTCTACTTCCGCCACCGGGATACTTTGGAGTATACCCGATGAGCTTTGCTAAGGGCTTGAGGTTCCCCCTTCACCCTTTCGTCATTGAGTATCTGGACATGGTGGGGCTTCCTCCGGCCTTGCTGACGCCGAACAGTTATTCCTTGATGGTGGGCTTTTTACTTCGGTGTGAGGAGTTGGGCTTCAGGCCGACCACGGCCTTATTCATGAACTTGTACCAGATCGGCCGAGGAAGCCACAAGAATTGTGCGGCCTACGCTACTCTTCAACAGCTGCCGAGGAAGAGGAGCTTCACGGATTTGCCCACGTCCATTCATGGGTGGAAGAGCAAGTTCGTGTTTGTGTCCATTGGTGAAAGTGGCACCGAGTTCCCCTCTC